GTGGTCGTGACTCTGGATTCTGTAACCAGAGAATAGATGAAGCTTAAAAGATTTCATCTGTCAGATGTGAGTAAATGAAGCTGGTGTTGGAACAGCTTTGGGAAAGGAGGGTTAAATCTCTAGGAACTGAGGTATTAGGGCATTCTCTGCAGCAATTTTGCTTCTTACAGATCTCTGGATACTCCCTTCAGATCAAGGAAATAGGACCTGCCAGCCCTCTCAATGTGTCTAAAGAGTCAGAGTTAAGTCAATCATCATATAGGGTAAGAGGAGGACTCTTCCATGATCACTTTTTTCTTTTCCACAGGCTGAAACCTGGAGCCACAACCACACATGCAGTGGCAAAGTCCTAGGGGTTGATGGAGCCACAGGCTGGAAATAGCCTGGGTCCCTGAAACACCATGTGGAGGAGAGTGCTTGCCAACCAGAGACACTCAATGGGATTTCAGCAAAAAACAAAATACCCATCACTTTTTGGTTTAATCTACTTTAATTATCATTCTAAAACTTCTTTTCATTATACTCCTATATTAATTCCACTCTTCCCTGGATACTATATCATTCTTTTACTTGGAAGTGTTCGTTGGAGTGTTCATCAAGTAGTTTTTTAAAAGGAAGGGTACCGAAATAAACTTTCTGAATCTTTCATGTAAAAAAAAAGTCCCTGTTTTACTCTCCTTTTTAGATAGACTTTTCTGGACATAGGATTTTAGATTAAAAAGTATTTTCCCTGTGAATTCTGAAAGCATTGCTTTGTGGTCTTCTAGCATCCAGTATTGCTGATAAGACATTTACAATAGAAATAATAGCAGGGGATTCAAACATCAAACATGTGCAAAAGACAAATGCAAGCAGCTGCTATATATATGAAAAAATCACTATAAATGGACATCAGGCATGAAAGAGAACCCATTTTTATCCTATAAGATTGACAAATAAAAATGGTAATATTCAGTATTGGTGCAGATTGGAGAAATGGGTAACTTATACACTGTTAACAGATGTGAAAATTGGTGTGAACTTTCCATGTTTGTAATATTCAGTAGTAAAATCAATTATTTTACCTTTTTAGGTGAGGTTTTTTTTTTTTTTTTCTATCTGAAACCAATTTTAAGTTCTCCCTTTATCCTTGGGATAGCAAAAATTTTATGAAGGTGTGTTTAGATAAAAATCTTTTTATATTCATTCACTTAGTGCTTACTGGCCCATTTTCATCTTCCATTTTGTTTCAGCCTCAGAGATACAGTTCTTCTGTTATTCCTTTGATATTTTTCCTGCCTTCAAATTTTCCTATTTTTTTCTTTCTCAACTTTTTATTAGATGGATATTGGTTTTTCTGTATGTATTCTCTATGTCTTTTTACATTTTCTCTCATGTTTTATATTTTTTTCTGGCCTTTGCTTTATATTCTGAGAGGGATTCAAACATTTTTTTCTTGTTGCTTTCTATTGATTTGTTTTCACCAGTTTAATATTACATATTTATAATTTTTATGAACTCTGGGTTTCTTTACATATGAGACTATTCTTGTTCAGTGAATGTGATTTCTTTATACAAACAGGTTGACCTACAAAGATCATAATTAGAACTTTTAAAAAGTTATCTTTTCCAGGAATTGTCTGTTTCAGTCACTAGATTTTTTTTTCATTTTTTCCCTCCTTGGCTACCCACTTTGTTATTGCTGCTTTTCATCAAATAACTGGCAATCCCTGTCTTTCTATTTCTTTTCACAATTGAGAGCTATGTTGACTGATGTCACTACTGGTCATATTTCCTCTCTACTTTGCTATGAATAAATAATTAATTGATCTCAATAACAGATGCTCAGTCAAAAATAAGTGTATTTTTCAAAAGTGTTAGTTTTTATCTTACTAGAAATGGACCCACTTTAATAAAATATTTTCATTTTTCTATATTATGTACCTGTAACATTGACTGCATATAGCAGTTATAGTCTTGCCTATATAGGAGATCTTTAACTTTGATTGGTCCTACTTAGAATTGTCTCATCAATACATCTCTTAAAAATCTATACTTTGGGCCAGGCACGGTGGCTCAAGCCTGTAATCCCAGCACTTTGGGAGGCCAAGGTGGGTGGATCACGAGGTCAAGGGATAGAGACCATCCTGGTCAACATGGTGAAACCCCATCTCTACTAAAAATACAAAAAATTAGCTGGGCATGGTGGCGCGTGTCTGTAATCCCAGCTACTCAGGAAGCTGAGGCAGGAGAATTGCCTGAACCCAGGAGGCGGAGGTTGCAGTGAGCCGAGATTGCGGCATTGCACTCCAGCCTGGGTAACAAGAGTGAAACTCCGTCTCAAAAAAAAATCTATACTTTGAAGTTTTGTTTGATAATTTTTTAAAGTTAAGAACTCTTCATGGATATTTTTTGTTGAAAATTTTTTTGGGGAACTGAATTACATTTTAAAATATTAACACATTTTTATGTATGAAAGAAAACCCATTTTGTTCCATGTGCTTATAATTTGTGGCTGGGATTAATGGAAGCTTTACATGTGTGATGTTTTTTAAAAGACTGGTGTAAATGATATAAAATTGGGATGGACAGTATAAAAATAGTTGCATGACAACTGCAATTATTTACAAAATAGACACATGAAGGGGAAATCATGTATTGTTGGCAGAGATTATTTTGCCTTTTGAAAAAACTCATAGACTGATTGGCTGCATCATCCTGTTGTAAAGTTTTTATTCAAATGATGCCAAGATCTTTTTCCATGACCTCACATTGCTACCCATTCATTTTTCACACACAGAGCTTTATTCATGCTGGGGATCACAGTCAAGTTGTAGGGTAGATTGATCTCATCACAGCGAAGCCATTCCATGTCTTTTGGTCTTCCTTATGCCTTTACTCGATGCAATACTTCAAATCTGGAAAAAAAAACCCCACACGTTTGGGCTGGAGAAACAAAGCAGCAGCCATTTCCTTGCCTTAGTTCTTGGCCCATAATGAAGTAAGAGCACGATGTGATGATTGGAGCCAGACCTATCCCTGGCTATGGGCACTGCAGTAGACCCAAACCTAATTAAGAAAGATCCTGAATAAACTTGGGTGAGGGCCAAAATCACTAGCTCCTTCTCGATATAAAAATTAGCAGCTGGGCTGAATAAAAGGGAGTGCTGTTATATGCCACAGAAAACAATCTTTTTTTGCACCTTTTCTGACCTTCTGTTGTTGAATATTTTATTGGTTTGTATCTGTGATAACTTCTCAGAGGAGTTGACTTGCAAATGTGAGAATTCAGTCGCCCATTTGGACCAAGGGATACAATGAAAATTAGAATAACCAGTCCCTACATTAAACCCAGACTGTCGCTGGAATCAAACTTTTCCAAATGCGGTAAACTGGTTTCACTCGTTCTCTTATTCTTCATTGAGCTGCTCCTGTTAATATACAAAGTTTAGCTGAAGTAACTTTTTAAGAAAATTGATTTGATAAGAAAGAGGATGACCATTCTAAGAAAAAACAATCTACATAAAGACTTTTGGAAGTCCTCTTTATGCACTGCTAATCCCCTTATCACTTGAATATCCTTGCTTTCCAAGGTGAAGCCATTGTTAATCTCTGTAAGAGTACTTGGAAGATAATGTTTCAGTTTTTAATATGGCGTCTGGCACATGGTAAGTGTCTAAAAAATGATTGCTTTATTATCTTTTGAGACTCCACATGTTGACTTTAGAAATAATTCTTAGCTTTGATCCAGGGAATTTACATGCAGGCTATACAGTAGAGAAAAAAAGGTTAGCATTTGACTCATTTTGATGCTTTTGTTATCCTGAAACTTACTTTTTAATTAGATTTAAAAGAAGAATAAATTAAGACATCCCTCCCTTTTAGAGTTACTCAGTAAAGTGTTTACCGAAAATGTAATTTCTGGGGTTTGCTTCAAAGTAATCTGGTGAGAGAGGGAGTGAAATGGGTGGGGTAATAGAAGAAAAGATTGAATTGCTAATGTTTGAAGCCAGGTAATAGGTGCATGTGGGCTCATCATACTATTCTATTTTACTGTATGATTAACATTTTCTGACATAAAACTTTTAAAAACCATTTTTTATTTCAATTAGAAATAATTTAAAAAAATAGCAAGTCACAGCTGAGTCCCTTCCTAGGCATTGTTGTCAGTTGAATAGAGTTATTCTTCCCGAGGTAGTGCCTGGCCCCACACCTCTATTGATAGCTTGCATCTGGCATCCTTGTCAATTTGAGTTGACCCTAAAGGATCACGCCTGTAATCCCAGCACTTTGGGAGGCCAAGGTGGGCGGATCACTTGAGGTCAGGAGTTCAAGACCAGCCTGGCCAACATGGTGAAACCCCATCTTAAAAAAAAAAAAAAAAAAAAAAAAAGGATCATCTCAGTTGCACAGTTTCCATGGAATTGGCCGAGGCCTTTGCTATGATAACACAGTTCAACTTGTCCCTCTTTCCAGTCCTGGTCCCTTACTCTTAGGTAGGTATTGTATCATTGTAGGTGGTCTCAGTAGTGTGCTAGTAAATATTTAACAGCCAGCCCTCAGACCTCTAGAGCCCTGACTTGTAGTGTTTGCCAGTTTCCATGGTGTAAATACTCCCATTGTGGCCAACTACAAGCTACCAATCTGATGTCACTGAATGAAGAATTAGAAAGAAATGTGCACGATTGGTTCTCATGACAGTGCAAGCCAGCTCCAGCCACCCCTACCAATTTTCTCAGTGAAATTTCTAAATGCAAATCTCTACCTCAGTCTTTTTTCAGGGTAACCTAATCAACAGAAAACCATCAATGATTTTTATTTGTCAATTTTGGTAATTTTTTTATTGAAGGAAATAACATTTTATAGGCAGAATAAAGTGAAATTGGTCATCTCAAATGTTTCAGCAAAACGTCATACATTTCTCTCTCTCTCTCTCACACACACACACACACACACACAGGCACACCTCACATACATCATGACACCATAAGACAATGTCCCACAATAATTGCCTAGAGATATTTAAAACATAGATTCTTTTTAATTTTCTAAAAATTACACAGTTGAGTAGGGCATTCTGAAGAACAGACTTCAAATATGTTGTTCTTACTCTTTTGAGACCAGGAAACATTTGCCAAGAATTCACCAGGTGCTGTTTTTGTTGCTAGTATTATAACTATTATTGCTATAAATCAAAACGTATATTTAAGAGTTAATGTGTCATCATCATAACTTAGGTTTTTAAATCAGAGTAAGCCATTTGTAATATTTGCTATCTCTGAAGAAAAATACAGAAGAGTATTGTTTGTCTGAAGAACTGTTAAGACCTTTACCCTACTGAAGAGCTGTTGTTGGAATAAATAAATAATCAGAGGTTGAAGGTTGTTTTTTAAAGGGTAGGAAACGAGAAGAAAGGTACCACACTCAGGTTGGGTGTGGTGGCTCACGCCTGTAATCCCAGCACTTTGGGAGGTGGAGGTTGGAGGATCACTTGGGGTCAGGAGTTCAAGACCAACCTGACCAACATGGAGAAACATGCACCAACATGGAGAAACCCTGTCTCTACTAAAAATACAAAATTAGTATTTTTGGTGTGACACATGCCTGTAATCCCAGCTACTCAGGAGGCTGAGGCAGGAGAATCACTTAAACCCAGGAGGCAGAGGTTGCAGTGAGCTGAGATCTTGCCAAGGTGATGAAAGGGAAATGGGCATCTTCTAGGGAATGATACAGAAGATTGAAGACGAAATGATTTTACCCAAATGAATGGCAGATTGTTCTTAAATATTAGATCCATTTTTATAGAAAGAGAAGTTACTTGGAAAATGGGAACAAAATGTCCCAATGAAAAGTTTGGCTGTGGAATAAATTAATTTTACCAGTATATATACACTTAATTATCAACAAGATAATCAGAATAAGTTTCCTGTTATTAGAGCCAACTGGTCTATCAAATCAGAAGTTTGAATAATGTTCTTAAATTTTGGGATGGATTAGTGGCTGGTTAAAAATGTAGATTCCTGGGCACTATAACTATTATGTTTCAGTAAAGGTCTGGTGTAGGGCCCAGGGATATGCATTTTAGCCAGCTTCCTAGTAAATTCCAAAGCCTGTGGTCTCTGTCAAATCAAAGCATGCTGAAAAGCAATATGGGTAAATGTTCATGACACCATTGTTTCATATTAAGATTAGGAATGACTCTATGCCATTTCCTTATTATGCAGGTATAGCCATCTTACAAATAACATCTGGAACCTTTATCTTCTGCTTTCCTGAAGGTCATTTTCAAGAACATCTTCCATTTATCTCTCAACCAACCAGATCTTCATCTATACCTTTACACACTTGCTTCCTCCATAAAGGAAAATTGTATATGTGTATGTGTGTGTGTATGCATGTGAACAGAAGGGCTGAGGTGCATAAAATTATAGAAAATCCTCTTTTCCAACAGATCTAGCCAAAGAGATATTTTTGGCTCTGACATAGTGATCAAGACTCAATAATCCTATTGAATTAAAATCATGAACCTATTAGCCTAGCCTAGCCTAGCATTTGAGAGCTTTTTCTTAAAAATTTTAAAAATCTCATTATTCACAATCACCCTTCTAATGAACCTTATTCCATATGACACATAGTCTAATATTATTGGCCCTGCGGAGCCTGGGCACCTTCTAATGCACTCTGGAAGCATTCTACTGAGATTATAGTTGTTCTTACACCTCTATATTTAACATGGACTCTGACAGACAGAAATAGGTCCTTTTGTCTTGCACATGGCGGTATAATAAGTTGCCCCTACACCCTTGGATCTTGATGAAAAGAGACTGACTTCCTCCCTGCCCTCCATACTGGGTGTGTAAGTTGTTTCCCATGATGAATTAGACCCAACCTCCTCCATGAAAGTAATAATAGTGGACATTCCTGCTCATGAAGACACTCGTCTAGGGGCTTAAAACTTGAAAGGTAGCTGTGAAGGGTGTGTGTGAAGATCACAGACAGATCCAGAAAGGAAGGAAGCTGTTTATTGCTTGCCATACTTTGTGGAAGGACTAGATGTCTCTCTGTCTTTTTGACCTCCTGTTTATAGAACTCAAGGCATTCACATTTATGACACATTTTCTTTGCACAAATAAAGCTGCACCAGTTTCACAGAGAAGAGTTGGAATTTTGTAATCAAAATCATTGGATGGGAAACTGCATTTTCAGCACCCACTTCTTTCACTAACAGTATTTCTTACAACCTGTGAACATTCATGAAGAACTCTATCATTGTGATCCATTTTTAAACCAATGTACCCACTTGGGGTTATCATTTCCCCGTAAAAAACTTTCCATGCTGATCACTTCTTTTCCTTTAATAAGCTTTGAGCATCAGGGCACATTGCTCCATCCATCACAGGCTCTGCGGGTGGAGTTTCTATCTCAGTGCACAGCATGAAAGCATGGGTCAATCTGTGCCACACACAGCCAAGCCTCTCTTGAAGTGATTTGTTTACAGTGTCATTTGATGGAGTGGAATGCTCTGCAACTCATTCCAACTGCTACAGAAGCTTTGCTAAAAGGTCACCACTGCTCTTTCGAGTTTCCAGATCTGGGCACCACCTGGGAGCTTGTTAAAGATAAGGTTCTCCACGGGCTTTTTCTGTACAAACTAGATCAGATTAACAAAGGGCTACTTTTCCATAGAAGTTCGTGTTTGTATCGAGAAGAAGAGAGCGAGAAAGAGAGAACACAAGTAAATTACAGTTAGTTGCTTTGAAGTGTGCAAGCCCACTTTCTCTCAATTCATAGTGATAGTACAATTTAATAGGCCTAAACATGGGTCTTGTAAAAGTCAGTATTTGCTTTTAAATGTCCTTCTTGAATCAATACTTTCTTCAAGTATGGTCTTTGGAGTGAATTCTAAAGGACCTTGAATCTCACCATTTACTCAAAATTCAATAGAAAAATGACAACTAATTCCTTAAGGTGATAGAGGCTATGCAGGCTAAGCATTCACTGTGCCCTGTACCAACAAGGTCCAAGTCATTGCAACTACCGTTTTAGTCTCGGCCTAAAAGTGGCTTGTGCTTGCTTTTCCCTTTCTCATGAAACAAATATCTTGAATTTTCCAAACCTCAGAAGCTCAGCTGTAAAACTAGGAGACCAGCAAGAAGAAAAGGAAAATGTCCTTCAAAGACGTCTCTAGTCGCAGTTGGCCAGTTCTGCTCTCCACCTCAAAACATTAACTATGTCTTTTGATACTTGTCTGTAAAAAACATCCAATTGTGACAAATGGTAGAAACAACATTTCTTTAACCTCCTGCCTGGAACGTCCCATGATACAGATGAGTTCTAGCTGATACTTTTCTGAGTGGAACAAGGAAGATGGTTACTGTCCACTACACTCAGTCACATCTGCAGATGGAGTAAGTAAACGCATAGTGAACATACTGAATGAAAATTTAAAATCCTTTCATTTGCATTTGGTTGGAATCCCTGAAAGGGTCTGAACCAAAGAGTCTGCACAGTAGCAGCTGAAACACAGGCTCATCGCCATTAAAACTATTCTCAGAAGTGTGTACATGTGTGTATTCTAGTAGAATGCTTGGAAGAAGAGAGACTTAAATCTGGAATTGTATTTTTGCCTCTGCAGTCTGAGTTGGAGACAGTAAAAACAATGTCTCCCTCAGTTCCATCAAGCTGGTCTGGGAACCAAAATTGTCCTGAGGAAGGGGGAAAAATCCATTTATATTCCTTGTGAGGCAAGGAGGGAGGTCTTTCTCGCAAAGTCTTTATGTGTCATTCAGGACCAGGACACTTAATCTTCGAGTTCAAAGCTGGTCTCATCATAGAGTTCAGGACGTGCTGACTTCTTGTGCCGGGAATATTTCAGTCGCAGGAGATCACCCGTTTCATCAAGAGCTTCCAAAACCTGCAATGAGATTACACATTAGGTTGTGGTTTAAGACCCTAGAGGAATGTTAGATACTAATTCATTTTATTTAATGGTCTAATTCTACACTACGAATGTTTATTTTATTTTGAGAGTGTGAAGAGAAGAATAAAAACATTGACCATGCTTACCCTTAAAGGCGTTATTTGAAAATGTCATGACTTATATGTCAACTTGTAGAAGAAAAAGATATGGTTGCAGAATGCATGTGAAGTTATATCTTCATGACACAGCAAACCACCTGGCCAAGAATAACGTGGAATGTTGTGGGAGCTGATTAGCATAATCCTCTGTCCTCTCATGCTACCCCAGGCCCCCTGCTATTCAATAGTCATTTTTAGTCCCATAAAATACTAGAACTTAACTCACAGGGACTGAGAACTCATCTGTTTCAACTCTCTTACGTGAGGCGGGTACACGTATCCTTCATTTTACACATGAAACAGCTGAGATACAGAAAGTGAAAAAAGGTCATTTTCGATTCTAGTATATCACTAATCCTAGGGTATTGGTCATGCCTTTTTGACCTTTCTAAGCCTGTTTTACTTAACCTGCCAAATGAGGAGGAAGATAATATTAGGGTTTAATGCTTTGAAAAAGCTAAAGTGAGCGTTGTTAATGTTAGAATGGGTGACTAATGGGTATGATGGACTCTCCTCTTTGGGAAATCTTTCAAACTGATAGTAATTAAGATTTCCTCCAACATGTTAAAAGCAATTGATTTCTTGGTGGTAAGAGTGTGAGTATTTAAAATATTCTTCCCTGTTTTTCTAAATTTCCTACATCAAATCTCAGTGCTAGGAAAACGTGACCAAAGTTATCTTTAAAATGACACCTTTCTGGGATAGTTTCTATCAGTCTTTGCTGAAGGTGGGGGATGGAATACGTCAGTGGTTTCCGAAGTGAAGGACTTGCACGTGTGTGGTATCTGTGAGATAATTTATGGAGGATGTGGGGAAACATTAGAATTTCTATTCTGGTTTCTTTCTTTTTCTTTTTTTTTTTTTTAAGACAGTCTCACTCTGTTTCCCAGGCTGGAGTGCAGTGGCACAATCTTGGCTCCCTGCAACCTCCACCTCCTGGGTTCAAGTGATTATCTGCCTCAACCTCTTGAGTAGCTGGGATTACAGGCATGCCACCATGCCCAGCTAATTTTGTATTTTTAGTAGAGGTGGGGTTTCACCATGTTGGCGAGGCTGGTCTTGAACTCCTGACCTTAGGTGATCTGCCCACTTCAGCCTCACAAAGTGCTGGGATTACAGGTGTGAGCCACTGCACCCAGCCTCTATTCATTTTTATCTCAACCTTTTAAACTTTTATTTATGTCTCTTATATAATGTATATATATATTGGTAATGCATATATCATTTACTAAGAATTTATGTTAATCCTTGCTGATCAAAGACCACCCAGAACACACTCATACTCAAAGTTAGGTTTCTTTAGCTTGCTGGGATAAGAGAGGGGGGACACTGCAGAAGAACCATGGGCATCTTAGTGACAGGAAGATGGGAGAGACTTCTCACTGCATTTGGGCTTGTGCCTGAGATGACTCTAAGGAAGCAGGGATAGGTTCTGGGTTGGATGCTGTCAAGAAGTAGGACTTCTGGCTGGCTCTATATATTTATAATTTCTATCTGCAAGGTGAGGGAATTAAAATGAGGGTAGAGTTGTTATTGGTAAAGGAGCAACTGTCACACATGTCAGTTAGGAGAGGGAGACATTAAGTACTGTGGAGTGGCCTTGTCTCTGTCTTGTCCAAATGTGGTCATGGAATGCATTTACCTAACATTGTTTCTAGTCTATGAGCCTTTAGGTTCAGTTGCTACCTTGATGGCTATTAATCCGGGTCATTTTTGACTTTCCCTTATATGTACATTAAGGAACTGCTCAAAATTTTTTGTTGAGATAAGTGCATGATCTCAAAAGTTTAGAGGCATTTGTCTAGATGATGTCTCAGTATCCTTTCGAAGCAGGTATTTTGTGGCAATTAAGAACTTGTGAAGACAATCACATGCATGAACACCTCAATGCTGCTTGGAGCACAAAATTACAAATTCACCCACACTGTCTGTCCCTCCTGCTATCTCAGGGAACTTGCTTCCTGGCCACGTTCTCTTCTCTCCCTTCTGTGCAAGGTCCCCTCTTCACTGTCTTCTGCCCTTAATGTGTAACATGCTCAAGTCTTCTCCATTTTAAAGGGTATTATCTAAACCTATTTTTCTTTCTACAGCCAGACTTCTTGAAAGTTTTGCCTTCCTTTTCTTACGACCAACTCATTTCATTTAAAAGAAACAATTTATTAAAATTGTCATTCTGGAAATACATACTCAATTTAGAGAACCGGGGAAATAGAAAATAAAGTTGGCTGGGTACAGTGGCTCACGCCTGTAATCCCGGCACTTTGGGAGGCTAAGGCGGGTAGATCATGAGGTCAGGAGATCGAGACCATCCTAGCCAACATGGTAAAACCCTGTTTCTACTAAAAATACAAAAATTAGGCTGGGTGCAGTGGCTTATGCCTGTAATCCCAGCACTTTGGGAGGTTGAGGCGGGTGGATCATGAAGTCAGGAGATCAAGACTGTCCTGGTTAACACAGTGAAACCATCTTTACTAAAAATACAAAAAACTAGCTAGGTGTGGTGGTGCACACCTGTAATCCTAGCTACTTGGGAAGCTGAGACAAGAGACTCGCTTGAACCTGTGAGGCAAAGGTTGCAATGAGTGAAGATTGTGCCACTGCACTCCAGCCTGGGAGACAGAGTGAGACTCCATCTTAAAAAACAAAACAAAACAAAATCCCAAAATTAGCTGGGTGTGGTGATGCACGCCTGTAGTCCCAGCTACTTGGGAGGCTGAGAAAGGAGAATTGTTTAAACCCAGGAGACGGAGGTTGCAGTGAGCCAAGATCACACCACTGCGCTTCAGCCTGGGCAACAGAGTGAGACTCCATCTCAAAAAAGAAAAAAGAAAAGAAAACAAAGTTCACTCATCTCAAAATCTGGTTAGCTCAGTTGTTAACATGCTACTCAATAATTTCTACTGTGTACCTACTGTGTACAGTACACTGGTTGACGTTTTGAGGTTATCCTTGTGAAGATGAAAACACAACTCTGTGTGTGTGTCTGCACATTTGTCTGTGGATAATTTCAGACTCCAGTTATCCTCGTCACTCTTTTATTCTTTCTGTTCCATTCCTTTCCTTAAAATGCCTCTTCTCTGCAACATCGAGCTTCTACTAATGGCTAATCCAGTATTTTCTTCTATTCCCTCACTGCGTTGAAACTTCCTGTAGTTTTCAGGGGCATTTTGACCCTCCTCCTCTTTAAAACTGTCTCCTCTGTATGGACTTTAATACTACACTGAATATGTCTTTCCTGACTGCTCTAGCTCTATGTAAGTGTGGGTCCCCATCTGTGAGTCCTGTATCTTCCCCGGAAGGTAAGCAGTCCCCAGGTCTGCCCTGTTCACTCTTGCTCACATCTGGACAATTACATCTTCTACTTTTGGCTGTAATGATCCCTCAGTTCCCTCAACTGTAACAGCTCCAGCTTTGCATACTCTCCTAAGCTCTAGAATCTTACTTTTCTTCTATAGGTGGCCCATGGACATGTAGTCTGAACATGTCTAGAACTGAGCTCATTCTGTTCCCCCACTCCTATTGAAAATTCGTTGTTCCTTATACCTTCTCTCATTTAAGTGCTTCACCATCCTTCTCTTCACCAGTGCTAAAGACCTCAAATTGTCTTTGGTTCTCTCTTTCCACATATGCACTGCATCCAATCATTTGTCGAGTCCATTCATTTGTAATATTTTTCCATGGATTTGTTTCTTTTGTTTCTACTACCATTAGCCTTGTCATCTCTTGTTTTGTAAAATAGCTCCATTGTAGGTCCTTTTGTCCCTTTCCAATTCATCACATTCATTTCATAATGACATGATTATGTCACTCTACTGATCGGAAGCCTTGAATGATGCTCCATGATCTTTATTAAAAAGGCCTGGCTCAAAAGCCACGTCCCATCAATCTTCCTCACTGTAATAATCCACTTCCACAGTTCTCTGTATTTCTTTTTCAAGATGAATTTATTTTGTCCGGTATTATGTGTTATTCATTTATTAGTATCTTCTCCTAGGCTTTTTGCCCCAGGTTTGCACATAGTTGACTCTCCATAGTGTTTGCAAAACTGCATTTATGTTATGTGACTTCCCATTAACTCCAAACGGATTAGATGGCTTAGTTCTCGGATATTACTCATTCACATGAAAATGGAAATCAAGGGACAATAAAAGGCAGTTTTAAACTCATTTCTGCCTCACTTAGGTGTGGCTTCTGTCATGTAGATTTGTTCTTGTTGTTGGTTTTCCAACATGTTGCTTACTTGGGTCCTATTTTATTATTATGGCAGATTTTGTGGCTATGAAAAATGTCAGGATACACGTAATTAAGTCTGAAACAGCATTTTAGATCAGCTTTTGCATTTAAGATCAAGTAAATAGCACAACATACAGCTACTCTGTCAGTCTTTTCTAGGAAACCAAAATACTATTGAAATCTTTGCGAAATGGATTTTCTTTTCTATCTACGGAGTGGTCACAGTGTTGGCTGTTGTTGACGTGCCCTTGTTTATCAGCAGTGACTTTTCACCAGTGTTGTTTGCCTAAATCACCCAAGGGAAACCCAGAGAACCCCAAGCTGTCTCAGTAAAAGGACTTGCTTTGACTCCAAGGTACTGGTACTGAGATCCGGTTGGCCTGTGGCATACTCACTGTGTCTAACATCTCCCGGGTATGTGACGCTGAAACACAAAACCGAGCCCGAGCTTCTGCGAGGGGAGTGGCTGGAAATCCCACGACCACCACCCCGATTTTCTTCTCTTGCAACATATGCCTTGCAAAAGCCCTTAAGAAAGAGAGAGAGAGAAAAAAAAGTGGTTAATTGAGAAAAGACAAAATTATCCTGACGAAAAAGGAATATGGCTAATTGACTTTTTTCTTTTTTATGATAATAGAAGATGACTGAAGTCGTTAAACTTCTGTCAAATACAATTGACAAATAAATGGGCAGTCAGTCACTTGGTGCCTCTCATAATGATGTATGTGGTATTATGGGTCTGACACACTCATTAGATAATTGTGGATATTGAGTCTCTGACACCAAGCAGAAAATACTGATGTTTATTTCACTGGTTTAACAAATCTGCAGTGGTACAAAATCCATCTGCAGGCTCCCTAGGTGTAAAACAGTTCCTATAAAGCAAGACCATAAAGAAAGAAGCTATATTAGTTGTAAGGATATATGTTTTAAAAACTTAATACAAATAATATAATGTGGAAATTTCAAGGAGCCTATACTTAGTGAGTATAATGTGAAGACCAGAATCAGAGGGTCTGCAGTATCCAACCCCAAGCTAGTTTACTCAGTGCAGGGCCAAAGATTCTATTTTCCATCATATCAGAGATAAGAAATAGGAAGGTCCCCTGATTGTTTGATATGTGAATGAACATACCCAGGGATGCACAGGGATAATACACTCAGTGACTGGGTTTAAGAGGAATGAGGCAGAAGGGAGACCAGGAAAGAAATGTTCACACAGAACCTTACAGCCTATAGGACTTAAGTCATAGAACTAGAAAGCTGTTTGATGCAGGGTAAAACCTTGGTAAGCTATGATTCCTTCCCTTCAATCCTTCTAGTCTCTTTTTTTTCCAGAGCTATTCGAAGTAACAATTCTAGAATATTAAGCTCAAAGGCAGTAAATATCTTGTGCTGAGAGTGAAGGTCAGATAAAAAGGCATGTACTCCCAAGTGACTCTTTTCCCTCTTTGGGCTCTGTTAGTCTTTGCAGGAAAATTTAATTACTGAATGACTTTACCCATAAGTGAGGTAAATGCCTCAGATCTGTTCTTAGCATTAAGAGATTGCTGGTGTATTATTTTAGGCTGGAAGCTGACAGCACCAGAGAAACCTTCCAATCACAGCTCAGGAAGAATTCTTGAACCAGATGTGGAGAGTGAGCTTGCTCCTCCATTCACTTGTTTTGCTGTTGAGCAGTCTGCCTTTTGGTTGCTTCAGACAGAGCACAGGTTATTAAATGAAGCAATAGAGACTGCAAGATCTACAGGACACACAGCCTTTCTGGCCCCCTGGCTTGGGCGAGGCAAGATTAGTCCTTTGATTTCAAGTAGGAAGTTTAGAAGGAGATGAAGCTTTCTAGCTGAGAAAACTTGAAAACAGAGGCTGTTCTTTCTCTTTCTTGATCACCCTATGGAAGGCTGCCCACAGAACTGCACAGAATGAGAGCTCATAATTGTCTGGGAAACAAGTCTAGTGCTTTTATTCTAGAGTACAAACCAACTGACCCATAATCTCAGGCCAGTTTTTGGGACTCCCAGAAGACCGCTTTCACTGTCTGCATGATTCTTTTTGTACCAAAAGAAGCCCATTTTGCCAAAGAATGCAGAGCAAAATATATGACTCTGTTGATTCATTAGCCTAATCTGGCATCTCCCTGGAGCACTTTTGAATTTAAACCTTACATTACTAAAGCTAGTGTTCTTAAGTTAATATATATGATTGCACTGGAAATTTTATATCATGATCCTCTGTTTGTACTCCCCAAAGCAATTGGCAATAGGTTAAAATAAACTAAACTATTTTATAATAATCATAATAATCAACAGCATTGATTATCAATAATAATAATAATTGACAGCATTGCATTGTATGCAGAATCACTACCTCTTGTGTAACACCATCTTCCAAGTATATTACATGAACAAAGCCTTTACCAAGTACCCAATACAATACATTCTTGGTTATTTAAATGTATGTTTTATGGGTGAAATCACATTACACAGCTCTGTAGAAGACTCCGGTGGTAGAGTTATAACAAGGCTTTGTTCAAAAGGATAACTGGCTCCAGACTGTTTTCATTCTGCAAGAGGACATGTGGAGAGATCATCATTCTTTAATAAAATCAAAGGTTTTTAAATGACCAAATGAAAGAAGTGCTTCCACACTGACTTACACAATTAACTCCCTATTTAAAAAATGTCTCTACATATAAACTTCCGACAAAGAAATATTACAGAAGGAAGCAAAGCCAGACAGCAGGGCAAGCTCTTGCCAGCGCCTCCTACCAGTAACAGATGATACTACCTTTTGTAACTAACCTGTTCTGTTTCCTTAGATGACCCAAACAGATTTTTTTTTTCTGTTTGTAGTGATTGTTGCCTTTTGAATCGCCAATGATGACATTAAACATAATGAAATTTGTGCTCTGCATTGCTTTCATGAGCATTTTTTTCCTATGAACTAAAGCTTGGGAGTTGTGCTGTGCGTTTGAAAGAGCTCTAGTTTATGAAGCAAATGGAACTGGCTTTGAATTCTGGGCTCTGGTGCCTATAACCTGTGTGAGTCTTAGAGAGTAATTTTTTTTTTTTTTTTTTGAGACAGAGTTTCATTCTTGTTGTCCAGGCTGGAGTGCAGTAGCATGATCTCAGTTCACTGTAACGTCTACCTCCCACATTGAAGCGATTCTCCTGCCTCAGTCTCCTGAGCAGCTGGGAGTACATATGCCTGCCACCATGCCCAGCTAATTTTTTTTTTTGTATTTTTAGTACAGACGGGGTTTCACAATGTTGGCCAGGCAGGTTTTGAACTCCTAACCTCAAGTAATCCACCCGCCTTGGCCTACCAAACTGTTGGGAGGTGTGACCCACCACATCCGGCCTTAGAAAGTAATTTGCCCTTTGTTAAGTCTCAGCATCTTCATTTGCAAACTACGGCTAAACATCCTACCCTCCATGGGTAATCACTGAGATTGCAAAGCCTTACTTAGCATATATTCAGTATTCTGTGATATTAGCTCTTCTTAAAAAAAAATCTTAAGTTAAAAGAAACAGGATGGTTTGACACATTATCCAGTGTCTATATAGCAATATGGAAGCAGAGTATAGCAGGATCTTTACCTACTATTTTTTCTGGATGTTTTATTTTTAGTAATGCAATCAAGAACTGCAATAATTATTTGGGAGAGCCATGCAACCATGGTGACTCAACCTAGCACTCAGTTGAAACTGATAACGATCATCATTGTTGCAGAGTAGTAGCAGTAAAATGGCTACCACTGATTGAATGGTTGTGGCATGCCAAGTACTCTATTAAGTGCTTTGTATACATTATTAGCATTTAAAAATGCCATTATTATTATCAGTGAGTTAATGCTATTAAGAATGACAGCTAACACTTAATAGCTCTTATATAAGAGGTAACATGCCAGTTCCTGCAGACATCATCTTGTTTAATCTTCACAGTAACCTTATGAAATAGATTTTATATCCTATTTTATAAATGAGAAAACTGGAGCTTCAGAAAGCTAAGTAACTTGTTCAAGAACCCCCAGCTAGGAGGAGTTTTTATTCCAAACCTTTCACCACACCATAGAACATAACTTTTCTATGAACATATGAACATATGAAGCATATTGTACACAGCATATTGTGTGAGTTCTGGAAGTTATATGCATTTGTTTTCACTACTTATGGACTCTTCTCTTTGGGTTGGTTCATTTTTCCAACCTGTAGGGATTCTAATTCTGGCTTTTATCATTAAAGTTGGAACTATCCAGAACACTTCTACTGTCACTGGAATACTCCAGAATTATGTGTTTTAGACCTTGGACAAGTTTATTTTCAGTGCCTTCTTTTGAGTTAATGATACAATATTAGGTAAACCTGAGCTAAGTTTGGAATATTTCTTCCAACACATATCATTTCCCCAATCATTTTGAATAAGTGCGTGTGTGTGCCTTCAAAAATCAGATGGTTAAAAGTCTTTGGATTATCTACTACTTTCAGTCACCATTGTCACCCCTCCTTGACATTATCAGAGAGCAGTGTGAGGTACAACATTTCTGTAGCACATGATCTCCTTGGACACTTCATGCTTTGTGTTCCTGACCCAGATCTGTGAACAAAGGGCCAACTGGTGTGAATGATGTGGCATGCTAAAAAACTCACGTGTGTCTTAACTGCTTGTGATTTTGCTGTGGTAAAATGACGCCAGAGCATACTCTGAGGAATCAGTCTTTTAGGAACTTATAACTCAGTCTTGCCCTCCATGACTTTTCACGAGTAAGCCCCAAACCTCTTTTATTGGGACTTTTCTATACTTCAAATACTCTGCCAATCTAGTCGGGTGATTAGAGAGTCAAACAGAAAGTTCTAGCAATGGGTTACATTGGAGGGGAGTTAGGACCTCTAAAATCTGATGCATAGTATGTTGAATATGAATTTCCATCATGTGCTTGGTCAGAGACATAAATAAACATTTTACCTTTAGAAAGGATTTTAGTTAACTTCATTTTTTTTTTTCTAAGACAGGGTCTCATTCTGTCACCCAGTCACCCAGGTTGGAGTGCAGTGGCACAATCTCAGCTCACTGCAACTTCTGCCTCCGGGGTTCAAGTGATCCTCATGCCTCAGGCTCCTTAGTAGCTAGGACTACAGGTATGCATCACCATGCTCAGCTAATTTTTGTGTTTTTAGTAGAGACAGAGTTTCACCATGTTGGCCAGGCTGGTCTTGAACTCCTGACTTCAGGTGATTCACCCGCCACAGTCTCCCAAAGTGATAGGATTACAGGCATGAGCCACCGTGTTCTGCCAGTTAACTTCCTTTTAATAACAGAGGTGGTTAGTCTCTAGCAGCTTGGAGAAGGGCTCATGTGTAAAACTGTCCCTGCCAAACTGACAAGAAGTCATGTTTTCCTCTTTATGCAATTGTTACTAATGCTCAGTTTCAAAGTTCCAATCAAGAAAACAACCCCAAAACAGGTTTAGAGTAAGAGCATGAGAAACTGAGCGTGAGCTTCAATGTGAGCCTCAGTTTGGGTTTTTTGCATCTTACTTTTACTGCTGTTTGACTTGTATGGCTTTGGGTAGGTTAACTGCAGTCAGCCTCAGCTTCTCCACCCTTGAAATGAGAAGGTCCTCTTGCTAGAACGGCTGCAGCGTTCAATGGGAGAAAACACAGGGCCTGATCACAAGGTTTTGATGGTAATATGGGGAGAGACGATCTTCAGAAGTTCTCACTGAGAAAGATTTGGGGTCAGAAGGAGGTTCAGGATTGTGCTTAATTTACAGTTAAGGCTGAGGAGATAAGTGATTTCCCTAAATTAACAGAGCTTGAATTTAGGGAAGAGAGGTCAGTCTTAGCACCTGGTTCCCCTTCTGTAAGACCTGTGGGAGAAGTTCTAGGTGACAGGCTGGCAGGTGGCTTCTGAGAAGCTGTACAATTGAATTCTAAACTCAATCACCCCATTCCAAATGCATAATCTAATGCCTGTGTCAAAAAGCCATCTTAGGTCACCTGGTGTTTAGGTGTGATTCTGAGATGCCTTGGATACTTACGCAACTTTACCAGGCATGTAAAGAAGCAGAGGAACAACAGAAGCATTCTCATTGCCGTAGATAATGAATCCCATTTCCTGCAGTCTTTGTCTGAAGTATCTTGTGTTTTTTGCAAGTTGCTGTACTCTCTGCAGCCCTGAAAAGAGACAGGCGTGAAATCCATCAATTCCCACTAGAAAGAGGGAAGTAAAGATCAACTTGGCAAGCAACTCTAAGTCTTTCTGCAGGCAGCAGCACTAGCTGGGAGGAGGAAGTAGGGTGGGGAGATATCTCCTGGGGTTAATTGTGGGCACTGATGCCCAGGTACTGCCTTGAGCCTGGAAGGCAGGCAGGGAAGGGGACGGTGCTACGAGGTGCTGCAAGCAACTGAAAGCAGCTACACCGGAGAGCTGGTGGGAGGCAGGGGAGGTACGTATTTTGTACTTCTCTGTACTTAAAAACATCAACGCAAGAGAAGGGAGTATGGTAAGAAGTAACATAACTACTTCCCCCACCCTCACCTCATACCAGACATTGGTAGATGCTTTTTAGCTAAGCTGAATTGGCTCATTAAATTGTCCCTCATTTAAATCTCTAATCAAAGGATCCTTTGTCCCATCTGAATTTGTACGGATAGCATATTCATAGACAAAGACAAGTCCTGCTGAGACCAGGCCTGTTTTTTGAGGCATTTGGTGGTAGACTAAGAGAAGGGAGGAAAGGGGACCCCTGCTTTCCCCAGCCAGAAAGAAGGATAGCATTGGCCCAAAACTGAAGGACAAGCAAAGTACATACATGGGTCTACGTCAAGGTTATTGGTGCTTCAGCTCTAAATCTTACATCCTGTGTCCTAAGTGTGTGTCCAGTGCAGAGTTCACGCACGTGAGATGACAAAGTAAATGAAAGAGCAGAAAGTCCCATCCTGAAGATAACTGTCTACTCGGGTCCTGCTTCAAAGTGGGTAGGTAAGCCAGCCAAGCTAGATAGTATTTGCTCAGTTCGATTGAATAGGATTAAACATTTAAGTACCCTAGAAGTCAGCCCAGGGTTTGCATTTGATGCAGAATTGCTGTTCGGCAGGAATGTGCCTCTACAGTCTTACACCTCACTGGTTGTCTTTAGTGGACCTCCATTCTAAGTGGTGAGACGTTCAGACAACTGGTCAGAGATTCTGTCCTAGAGGTTATTCAATATTTTGAACAGCACTCATGGGGGGTGTTTGTAACTCTTCAGATAAAAATAGGGTAAACATTTCAGTAAACATGTCAATTACAGTCATCTGGTCCCTTCTTAGAGAAACAGCCCCAGATTGTGCGTTGACAAAGGATGGAGCAGTGGGCATCTTCCACTCAGCCTCCTCCTCCAGAGAACCATACTGTTTGAGCAGGGTTGGCCCTGCCTTTCCTCTTTTCTACAAGGTAGTGTGATGGCCAGTCTTGATCAGTTGGAATACTTCATCCCCCTGATTATTGGTTTGATGATGGAACATAACCAGGGACTATTTGAGTCTTTCTTTTAGATCCACTGAGGAAGAAGTGTAAGCATGAGATAATTCTCAAACGACATCTTTGTCCTCACCTGGAGGAAGCCTGCTTAAGAATGTTATCGACTCAGATAGAAGCCACTGTGCAGGACACTGAGAGTCCTGATAGCATCATCTGAACCTTTGGGTCCAGCTGTGCCTAACCCAGACCATTTTTTTGGACTTCCCTGCTGCGTGATTCAATATACTTCCTTTCTGCCTCTTATAACCAAATTTGTCCTGAGTAATCCAGGTGGTAGCTACTAATTGGATCAGGTAGCCTCTAAAACACAATAATAATATCAACACTCACAATAATAATATCAATAGCAATAATTATAGCTCACCCATGTGTGATGTCACCACTGTTACAAGCTCTTGACATTTGTTGATTTAGTCCTCACAATAACGAAATTGGTGTAAGAACTGTAATCCTACGTTATACACAAGGAGAAGCCAAGTAACTTACTCAAATGTACATAGTTGGTAGGTGGCCATGCCAGAATTGAATTCTAGAATCAGAGATTCAAGAATCTGTGTTGTTAGCTCCTACACTGTAATGCTCTGCCGAGGTAAGGGATGGTGGTTCTTCTAAAGATCAATAAAACTCCATTTCTGCCAGCTATTTGGATTATAATTGTATCAACTTTTTTTTTTTAGTAGAGGAAGTTGAGAGTCGAAGACTGAGAAAATGCCTGATGGCCTCATGTTGTGAGTGGTTGGATAGGGTCTCACTAGGGTAGGATATCGCTAGGGTGGAGTCTAGTGCCCCCTTCACTTTAGGTAGAGGTCCTGAAGGGCTGCGTTCACCAAGTGAAGGTGAACCAGGGGTAGACAGGCTCCCAAAGAGCACTTTCTTCACCCAGACATCTGACATGTTTTCACTAGACTCTATCACTCCCAAAATACTTCAGATATTCCTTTTAAGTTTTCCTTTGCTCATCAGGCCTAAAGGGACTTAACTTCTGTGATATCTTAATTGTGTTAACAACACAGTATATGTGGAGAAATGGAGATTTAGTTGAGTGGAACATGGATTAAGGAGTAGGATGCTAAATGTCCCAATTGTTCATGCTTGTTTTCTGTTACTTTCTTTTTCCTAACTCCAGTTCTCAAGGATGATCTCTCCCCAACTCTGCCAGCTCCCAGCAGGCAGGCTGTGATGGAGAGAGCATCCAGCTTATTGTTCTTTTTTAGGGAAGCAGACATCTCAGCCCCTCTAGCCTGACCACAGACAATGAATGGATGATGCCTTTGACCCAAAGGCAGTCCACTTGGGTGTTAGCAAGGAAGCCATGTGTTGGTCTGTCATAGGAGCTTTGAAAAAGAGAGAAAAAAATATATAGATTATAAACCAGATCTTCTTGTTATTACAGCATGGATGTGAAAAATTTAGAGAAGATGGTAGTACAATTTAGTTGGTAGTAGAAGTAGAAATGGAAAGACATAGAAAAAAGCTTATTAGCAGAATCTGTGAGACAGAGTAAGCCGTTGGTTGGTAGAAGCTGTGGCAACCTATGAAGAAGAGAGGTAGGCAGTGCAAGGAAGAGTAAGATATAAAAACAGAAGAGCTTATAGTCTAGTGGGAGAAATCGACATTAATCAAATAATCGTCCAAATGGATGGATCGCAACTCTGATGAGCATTATAGAGAAAGGTTTTGTGGTGTTATGAGAGCTCATAAGAGGGAGATTGGACCACATCTGAAAAAAGTCAATAAGTGATGAGTGAACAAAGATCCAAAGGATGAGCAAGTATTAGCCAGACAAAAAGCTAGAGGAGAGGATTCCAGGCCGAGGAACCAGGTGTAATGGTTTTGTGGTTTGCAGAAGAACACAGAGCTTGTCAACAAGGCAAGATGTGGTTGAGGATGGGACAAGATGAAGCTGGAGAGATGGATGGATTGTCTAAAAAAAGAAAAAATGAGGCGAGACTACAGGGACTGAAGAATCCCACATTTAATGATTGGGAGGAGTAGGAGTAGGATGAATCTAAAAGCGAGACAACATAGCAGCCACCAGAGAGGGAGAAAATAAAGCAGGACATAGAACAGTGTTCTTTGGTTTTATCAACATGACAACTCATTAACAACCTTTACTTCAGGGTCCCTGGATGGAACTTTGGTTTTAAAGAAACAGGTAGTTCCAAGTATGGTTTCTTAGTTCATATCCATTTTCCCCAATTCTAAATTTTGCAACGTGAATACAAGTAAGGAATCCCGAGAGGTGTAGAAACATCTGTATAATTTTTTTTTCCACATGGACACAGTCTCCTTTGTGTTTAAAATAAAGAAACTTTATAACATGCTGATATGTCCCTTGGAAACTTGTATGCTTACAGAGACTATTAAAAATGCAGGACTAGAAATTAGGAAGGAGAATATTTTCCTTACTTAAGAAAAATCACCCATACATTAAAACTGTGTGTTTCTTAACTCTCTAAGTTAAGAATATAAGGAGTAGGGGGAGATTGAGGTCAGAAGGAAAGGAAAAGAGGGCTATGGTAAGGATTGTTTTAAAGGTGATTAAAATCAAGGCACAGAGATATGTCTCGGCCACCAAAATGTATTCCATACGGCCTGTCCTCATGTGCGTTCAGCACTTCTGTTGATCATTAGCTACACGATGAACAGATGACTTCATCAGGCTAGACCTGATGATTCCTACATGTTCCCCCTTGAAGACTAGAAGGATTTCCTGGCCTGGAAGTGCCTGAATGACTTTAATTGCTTTTGTCAATGGCATTCTCTTTGGTCTTGCCTATAATGATTCATCCATCACTGAATGCCTAGCTACTTAATTGGCCCCGGCTGTCCCTATTGCCTTGATTAACCGAAGAAACTGGATCATCACTCATGTCACCGTTTCGCTGCTTCCAGATTCTTCAGAAACTTGAGCAAACAGATGATACTGTCCAGGGGTATCTGACTCCTAAGAACTAAATGTTTCTGCCTCCTCATCTTTCCTATCTTTGAACCATTTAGCAGAGCATGGCTGACAAGCCATTATGATATGCTTCGTGGTCACCACGCTTTCTCATATAGGTCACTACAAATGCCTTTGAGGTCTTGCATTTGCCAAGATTCAGCTCCTTTCAGTTACTCTATTGCTCATTCTTTAAAATCGGAAACATTCTCATACGCTTGGAAGGCCAAGAGTATTATGTATACAGAGGTATATAAAATGCTACTCATCTAAACAGTAGACAAATGACTGTATTAATTATGTTGGGCTTTGAGATCCTTGCTTGAAGAGTGTTTTGCAAAAGTAGAAGCAATATTTGGTGCATGTCCTTTTGTACAGGATGGCAAAGGGAAGCTTTGAAGATTGGGTATGGCAGCCACATCCCCTTCAAGACGCTCAGAGTCTCCAATTAAATAATTTTGGATCCTTCTTCTACATATTGCAGAGAAGACAGGGAAAGTCCCTACTCACATAAATAAGTGAATGAAACAATCTCTTATGTAGGCTTCTGGAGAGTATCCATAGGTATATATTTTGGATTTTCTGTGGAGGCTGTTGAGTGGAAAAGGAATAGGCTTTGGAATTAAGTGGAAATCAAACTCCGTCTAGACAGCCAAAAATCTAAAAATCTCTGTTTTAGCTTTAAATTACAGAGAAGCTTATCTTGCAGAA